ATCTTACAACTGTAGGTACAAATATTTCAAAATATATTAAGACTAAGTTGTAGACAATATACTTGTCAGAAAAAAATATTTTTAAAATTTACGTCACATTTCAATCCAAAAACACAAAAGCCTATAGCCTTAAAGGGACATATCTTTTTAAAAAATACAGTACAAATATATTTCTTAGCCTTTTAGCATATTCAGATGCACAAGAAAATTATTTAATAATATTCTCATCAGTCAAGCCAGCCATGTGCCAGTTTGCATTTATGGAGGGAAATCATGATCTCTTTATTTATGTGTGTCATTGGCTTGTGGAAACAAAGCCCACTGCTATGCTGTTACCTCCTGCCCTTTAATATCTGGTGCCCAATATCTGTTTTATTTGTAGCTGCAAAAATGTCAGGCAGCAGACATGGATAACATCCATGTAAAACTCTTAAAACATTTCAGCAAGTAACAAATAATAGGCTCCTTAATTTATTTAATAAATGTCTTGACTTAGTATTCCAAAAATTTGGAGAAAAGTAGAAGTGATTGTTATCTAGAAGCCTGCTAAAGAACCCACATATCCCCCCAAAATAAAAACCACTCTAACTACTTAGTCATTTTTATAAAGTCCTGATTCTTAACTGTCTGATGAATGTACATTAGTTGAATCATTCCTTAGCCCACAACAGGCTGGCTTTAGGCCTGGAGAGAACTGTATACCACAAATCCTGCACTAAATACAGTACAACATACTGAGGACAGCTTTGAAACTATGAAGATAATGGGGATGGCTTTGTTAGACTTTCTGTCTGGCTAGAACACTGTTTATCATCAAGTATTACTGCAAAATTTCAAAAATCTAACCAAGGATTATAAACAAATTTCCAAAACTGCAGATTTTTGATTAATTTGCAAGGATAACAGTTGATGGAAGATTGAAAAGTATGATCTACTCCAAGGGAGTGTACTGGCTCCTATTTTAATATTTACACTACAACCAACCACTCCTTCAAAGCACAACAAATTTTATTTATGTTGATGAACTTGAACTTCATGCTTAGTTGGAGAGTATTCAGATGGTAGAACATCTTTTAACAGATGGATTAGAAGAACCTGACTCATCCTATGACAGAAACTAATTTAAACCCAACCCCACTAAAGCTCTGATGTCTTTCATTTGAGAAATAAGCAATGGAGATGGGCATGATCCAAAGCTTCGGCTGTTCATGACAGTTCATTTCTTGGCTGAACAGGTGTTCCGGGCTTCAAAGCCTCGCCTGGTGGATGCCCACTTAGAGGCAGTGCCTGGAAGAGGTGGGGCACGGAGACCAGGCCACTATCTCTGAGTGGGTGCCTGCTGAAGTAGGCAAGGCTTTGAAGGGACAAACACCTGTTCAGCTGACCACCAAACCAGCGGTTTGTGTCTATCTCTAATAAGTATGCATCCTGAAAACTTCTGGAGGTGTGTCCAACTGGATCATAGTTTTTCCCCAAATTTCTAGGTATTACTTTGGATCATGCACTGACTTGTAAGAGACACTGCCAAAACACAAAGCAAAAGGTCTCTACATGGAGCAATATTCTTTTAAACATTTATTTATTTATTCATTGGATTTCTATTCCGCCCATCTAGACTAAAGGTCTACTCTGTCCTGAAGCTATTAGGAACCAGCTGGGGCACACAACCAAAAACACTGAGACCTACAGCCCTGGCATTATGTTACTCCACAGGAAAACATGCCAACCCCCTGTGGTATAGTTCTTTCTATGCAAAACAGGTAGATGTAACACTCAGTGAAAGCTATACAATTATTACTGGATGCCTAAAGCCCACGTCAACTCATTTTACCAATAATCTAGCTGGCACTGCATCAGTTGTTGGAAGAATCTGCTGGAACATCACGTATTTTGTACTTTTACTCATAGATGCTAAACAGAGGCATACTGGAAATAAGACTAAGTTGCCACTATTCCTTTCATTGGCTATCTCTCACTGTCAGATTGTCACTTCTTTCCATTAAAGAGCTAAAAATTTACCACTTCCTATCTTCTTCTCATAGTCCTTTGTAACCCTCAATCTAATAACATCTCTTTTCCAGAGCGGGCTAAACCCCTTCTCTCTCGCCATGTGCTCTTCTACCTAGTTTCAGGATAGGCTTTTCTATCATTTTTTTCCTAAACAGATCTAGTAATCTTTAAGTTTAACCTTATTTCTGGTTTATTGCTCCAGAGAACAGAAAAAGAAGTTTAGAAGCTCACAGCAATACCATTGCTGTTTACTCTGCTAACTAAGAAATCTCATAACAGAGCTCCCTACAGACTTAACTGTCTGGATCAAAATTTAATGGAAAGAGGTGGCAGCTAAAACTGAAACACTCATCTTATCTACATCAAATGTGCATCTACTCTTCAGTTACCATCCCACTTCTTCCATGTTAGAATCAAGTAGAACTTTTTTCCTGAACTACTGTGATTCTTGAAGAAACAGCAGAGAATGTCAGCACTATAGTGTGGGGGGAAAAAAACCTACCAGCATTCTAAAATGGATGGAAACCTACCTATGTCTAGCCCCTGGTCACATAGGGAACTGGGTCACCTGGAAGTGACTTAATAGGGTCAACTTTGGTTTTATTTATTTATTTATTTAATTTATATGCCACCCACTAGTCTGTAGCCTAAGAAAATGGGGTTTTCCTACCAATGCAATATTCTGTACGAGGAAGATAGGCAATTTTACATCTGTATCAGTGTACACCATCTTCCTCAAGTACTATGGAAAAGTTGACACTAGCTGCCTCAAATGCTCTTGATGTTTCCCGTTGTGAAAATTATCATAAATTTATTCATTATTATTGTATTATGATGTTTCTGACATGAACAAATGATCTCAGTAGTCAGTTTTGTGTTTTCTGAATTCAAATTGTTCGCAGCATTGCCATGTTGAATAAGAAGTATGTTGATTATTTATTACTTGTTGTAAACGTATTAAGTTGAGCAACTGTCTGAGATCTATGGAGATGTTCCAGTTTTTCTGGAGGAAGATCAAAGCACAAACGAACAACAACAAAATGAAAAGGCTTCAAATTCTGTAAGTTTAATTTCTGAAATGGTTAAATTGTGCAAGGTTCCAACTCAGGCATGTTAGGTTTAGAATTACAGCTAAGAGCTGTCAAGTGAGACATGAATTAAGTCTAGGGCGATAATCTGAAGTAGAAAGGATCAACACAGAATGATCTTTTAAGAGAGGAGAAAGCGCAAATTGCCAGTCAGATGTTTCTTCCTACACAAAAACTTGATAATTGCTATTACATTTCTTTCCCCACATTTGTAAGATGACTGGCACACCCAGTTTATTAGTAAATGTGTTGACATCAATTGAACCAAATAGGAGTTTCAGCATTCTGTAAGGAGATGCCTAAAATGTGCTGAATTTAGACTCCCTACACATCAGGAGTTCATGTAAATGATTCTAAAGCAAGTTAACATCCAAGGGTTCTGCATTCTCAATCACCAAAATGGATCAAAATCCAAAAGTATGTTCTTCAGCACTGGAAAGAAAATAAGGAGACCGTTTCTAATCACTTTTAGAGTTTGTAGTTTCAGCAGTGATTTGAGGATTAATCTGGAACATACATAGCCACACAGTTAAAGCTGCAACTGAAATAGCACTTACACCCGTGCAACAAACAAGGACGACTCGAAGAGGGAAATGAAAGAAAGGTAGAGAAACAAGTTAATAATCCTACGAACCCTTGTAACGGATTAGGTCCCACTGAATTCACTAGGTCGGCTTCGGAGAAAGCATACATAAAATCGGGTTGTAGGCGATTGGCAAAATCATTTTGTAGGCAGGAGGAAGGCGCCCCCGAAGCAAGTTGTCGGAAAGACTTCTTGCGCTTATGCAAGAACCTGCGCGCACCAATGTCCACATACTGTACAGTCTATGACAGAAGTCTTGCACGCCTTCCCTTGAGATGCAGCAACGGAATCAGAACGGTGGGACTGTCTTCCAAGGAAAAACACAAATTTGCAGGAGCGGGTGATACCTTTCGTGATTTTTTTCCCAAGTAAAAAGAGTTAGGAGTCCCTCTTTCAAAACCGTGCAAGTTTATACCAGTTTAGCCGAGCGCTTCCCGCGTTCTTCCCCGTTTCTTTTGCCTGTAAATCAGAAGCTAGCGAAGGCAAGTTGAAAAGAAAAATAATGGCCCGCCACTGAGGGACACAGGGCGAAGTTTTATAACCAGAAAATGGACGTGAAAATTAAATTTCGCACCTTAAAAAAATCATCTAAAATTCTCGTCCCCGTTTCCCCCCCCCCAAAAAAAAGGTTTACAGATCACAGCCATCCCTGTTAAGCTGAATTTCTGCTCATAGTACCAGGAAAACGCTCGGGGAGGAGGGAGAAGAAACGAAAAACAAGCTTGTAAAGGGACGCCTCCAGAGAACAGACGCCTCACGAGCTACCCCAAGCAACTAACCCCCGCCATTCCAACCATCACTAGACCATACGAGAAAAGGCTCCGCCCCCTCCCACCATCCACTTTTCCTTGCCCAAAAAAACCCCCCTTCCTAGCCATTCAGAACGCTTTTCTCAGATGCCCCGCCTACTCCAAGGTCCCCAATTGGCAGCCCCCAAGGAAAAGGCGGGGCCAAGCTGTTGTTATGATAAAAAGCGGCCCCGCCTATGCCTCGTGCGCGAGGAGCCTTCCAACGGCAGCTCCTCCCCTTGGCTCTCTCTCCTTTTACACGCACCTGGCTCTCGAGACGCCCGTTTTCGTCTTGCCCTTCGCGCTCTCTCTCTCCGGT